CAAATGGTACCTTAGCCTTATTTGCCGTGTATCCGACCCCAATACCTGTACGACTAGTCGGAAGGGTAAGGGCAAAATCGATCATCTTCAAGCCGACCCGACCCTTCCACGTAGACAGACTTGCGTTTGTTTATTCTATCAGAAGTGAGGTGTCATGCCAACCCGTCGCTCTGCCGACTGTCTTTACCTTAAACACATTTAGCCAGACCGAGAGGAAGGGAGAGAAGGCAAAAAGCAATGGGTCATCTCTGATGTTGTCGTTATGGGCGAATTTTCGAAGCACGATCAGCAAAAGCAACTTGATCCAAAGAGCGGAAACGGTCGTCATGACAATTGAAAGGAAGTGTAAGACGAGGACTTGTGCTGTCAGGGCTCTGAAGGCCAACACGATTTTGTAATCGGCCTTCTCGAAAGCCTTCCTCTCTAATTGTCGCTTGATGCTCCGAAAAATGGTCCTCAATTTTCGCTTTTTCTTTCCTCTTTTTCTCACAATTTCGTGTCGATCACTTCTGTTATCCTCGTGCTTGCAGCCACTTGTCATCTTCAAGCCCTCCCTTGACAATGCGAAAAGATAGGAGGAGGGACAAGGGTCAGAGCAGATCGCCGAGCCAAATACTGGCCACGTGACATTCAAGTACCTCAGAGACAAAAAACTCGTTCGTACAATCATCGAAAGAAATTCTTTAATTTATTTCTTTAATCCTGCTTCTCTCGTACCCTTGTTAGTTGCTGCCGACAAGGAAGGCTTCGTAAGTATAATATATGCTATACCGTATGTGGCCTCTACATGAAAGAGTTGCAAGTAGTAAATAATATAAGTAGTATAGGTATGAGTAGCTGTGCCGATGGCCCTTGCATAGTTGGTTTGGCTAAAAATATCCTAATAATAAATATGATATTATATCATCAACTATAACTATGAATTCACTTCGGTAAACATAATTATTGGTAGCTAAGTGCCGTCGACAAGGAAGGCTTCCGACGTATAATATTTTCTATGATGTATGTGGCAGGAATGACACTGAAAAAATTTAATGTAGGGAAGACTTACAAGTAATAAAATAATATGAGCAGTACTGCGATTTTATCACAAACTATAACTATAATTTCACTGTAATAAATATAATTACTGGCATACAAGTTTAAATAATTAGAATTTGTCAATTATTCACTCATTTCTCTGATTTGGGATCCTTCAATCCAGAATAGGCCAATGATAATTGAGCTAATCTTCCTGAATGCTCCAAAAAAGCTGGCGAACCAACTGACCAGTGAAACTAAGGGAGGGAATTTGGAAATGGTTCATCGCAATTCAAGGCGTCTTAGGCATCTTCAACTCCAGATGGCAAGTTAACAATTCGTTTCTTGAAACTGCATAAGCGGCTCTGAATATTGGGGAGTCGAGGAAACGAAAAATCACTTTCTTCTGGCAGCAAGACTGAAGTGCTTGGTTGGTATTTTGCTTTTTTTCACTGCTTTTACCAACATCATCTCAAGCAGTTGATTTCTTGTGTTTAACCCACTTCCATTTTGATCGAAAGTGTATGATGAAGGTCGATCCCATGAGACGACGACGACGACGACGACAACGAATTCCTCTTGATCCAATGTCGTTTGGCTTTACTAAAACCCTCTTGTCAAGACTGCCCTTGGGATAATCTCTTTCATTACTGTGAAAAAGAGTTAGGCATTACTACAACTCTTTTTGTGTTCATTAACATCTTTTCTAAACTACTGGTAGATCACAGATATGCGGTGTATTAATCCTATTTCGTTTAAGATGATAAGGGACTGGTAGTTAACTTTTACCCCAATCAGTTGAGTAGACCTTACGTTTGCACTAAATTTCACACAGCCTTGTTACCCAAAAACTATTCTCATCCAGGCAGGAGTGGACTTCCGTTTCGATCTTGTGTAGGTTTCACCAACACCCTCAGCGGTACTCGAACCATAACAATGCTGCGTATAGTCTCACTATGTTAGCAACTACACCACACTGCCATGAATGCCCTCGGGTCATAGGTCAGGTGTGAATTTCACGAAGGGCCAGTCATTTTCTTATATCACATTCTG